GCAACGTCGGCACCTGGACCATCATCTACAACCAGGTACCGGCCAACCGCTTCACAACAGCTGATCGCACGCTACTGCGTTTGTACTTACGCGGTGCTGATATGCAGGCTATGTATGGTGGTTGCTTTTTCCTGCTTTCAGCAAAATTAAAGAGAACGTGGCAATATGACGCAGTAGGTTCTTTATTTCGTTCATCTCATCACTTGCTTTCTTTCATCGTTAACAGACTGTTCCTTGCAACCTCTTCCTCGCTGTTCTTAAGAGCACGTTGCATCACACGTGCTATTTTGACGCACGATCCCTCATGTAGCTAGTGATTCACGACGAAAGTCATGATTTAGGCGGGTAGAATGGCAATGCCGTGTTTCATATACCAGCACCCTGGCTGATGAGATGTTGGACCCATGCAGTTCCTATGAGAGCCCCATGATATCGATGTAACTCCTTCATGCTGCGTTGGAAGCTGTGTAAAAAAACACATCATGAAACATCGATGCACATCACCAGTATCCTCATCGTCATCATGATGTCCTGATGAGCATATTATCAGATACCCACTTGACGACCTTCTGCAGCGTTTCGTGGTGCGCTTCTTAAGCTGCGTCTCTCAACTCTCCTCTACCACCTTGCCGACGTCGTTCCACCCAGGGTTTCGGGGTCTGATGGGTCCCGTCTCTTGAATCTCCTCTGATACTCTTACCGACACCCTTCTGACGCCCCGTTCCAGGGTTTCGAAGTGCGCCTGATGGGTCGCGTCTACTTCGCCTTCAGCGACTATAACGAGAACGGCGACGGTAGCGTGGACAGCCTCTGCCATCGGACCAAGACGGGCTGGTCGCACGATTTCATGACCCACAACTGGGCCTGCTTCCGCGGCCAGAAGCTGATGCAAGTCGAGCCGGCGCCTGCCTCGCACCAGGTGCGTCCGCCGTGGCACGGATCAGGACACGGTCACGGGGCCAGGTTAAGGGTCACTGCCGGCGAGGGCGGTGGTGACCTTGTCACGATCTGGTGGAAAACAATAATTGGTAAATAAGATATAAATAAATCATAATTTATCAATTGAATGATAAAGACATAATAATGCAATGCTAATTTAATGATAAAAATGATAATTCAATGGTGCCGGTTTATCACAATGCTGGGTCTCGCAGGCTCACATTTGATCTCGCTTTGTGTAAACACAAGTGCTGGGGTGAGACACATGCGTACTATGGGTCTTGGAGGGATACCGGAGACACAGGAGAAGGTCTTGGAGGGACGCTGGAGATGAGGTGTGCCGTGATAACTTACTCCATTCCGCCGACGGTCCGGTGTGTGGACAGCTTCGGTAAACTGAGAGTACGGCTAATCTGGACGTAAACTATTTGTTATTATATTTGCCCAAAGATAAATGATACGGAAGGTAAACACACCAGTCAAGCACGCCGCCGAATTTACACGTACTACTTAGTTACAAATCGTGGTATTTGAGACCTCCGGGGTGTAAATGTAATGTGTTATCAAGAATATTCGTTAATAAGTTTGATGCAATTTCATATCCTCCTACGGCAGCGACGAGATCTATGCATCTATGTTTTTCAATATCCTCACTCTTTAAGAACAGCTCCGTGTTGCCAGAATCGCTCAGCCGCTCGCATCGCATGACTCCTGACTCCATGGCATGATCCCACGAGTCGTGACCCCATCGCCTCCCGTCGGACAGATGGTCCGCGAGGCAAGTGACCAGGTGATGCACAGGAACAACCAGGACCGAGTCAACTTCATCAACAGCGGTGACTTCGGCTGGACAGCAGCGGCCTACCCCGAGCACGAGCAGTTCACGCGCTTAGGTGAAGAGCTGGGCCGATCTGGTTTGCTCCGGTTTGAAGTCTTATCTGGGTCAGGGCATCTGCGCAAACCCATAGCATGCCCTTTCGAAGTGCAACACGAACCTAACTCTGAGGTACTGACTTTTAAGCACCGAACGTTTCAGCGTAAAAATGATCGCCCACGCGAGCTGCTACCCCGGCTTCGCTCTCCCTCTCGGCTGCCAGAGATTGTTCGGTGCGGCTGTCCCGTGACGCGGGGAGGCGGGCCAGCGGCGCGTGCGGCGCCTGGCACGGCACGGCCTTCAGGCTGCGGTGTTTCCCGCACCCATCCCCCGGCGGCGGTGGCGGTGGGCCACGTGCCGCCACCAGTTCGCCCTCGACAGTTGAGCTGGTCTGCTGCAACTGAACCCGCCCCGGCCAAATGTTAGGAAATGTGAGACGAGCCAGCGGTGCGCAGTTTGGACTTCCGTAACCAAAATCAGACCGAGTTGCCTGCCGTGTGACGAGCAACATGCCTCCGTTGCTAAGAAGCGAGACGCGTACGCCTCATTACTGCCTGTGTAATGAACAGCCTTATTTACAATCGCCTTCTCGCGAGGAAGCATCGCATGTTTGGCAAACTTGAAGCTCGTTTGTTTACTCCTGGGACACTGGACATTGGAAACTCTTCGGAGACTTAACCGCGCCCGGCCGGCGAGGGGGAGTTGACTTCCCCCTACGACTTCTCGAGCACAGCGCTTGTCCCGCAGTTTCTCGCAATAACATAAACTTGGAAACACGCTGTTCAAAATATCGCTCTTGTATGCCTTTGGTGTATCCATTTTGAACAGTGAACTGATCTGACACGATCCACGTGGGCTAACAGTAATAATCGGAAAGAACTCCCACAGTCTTAACAGTCTATTTCCGTGCCCTCCACATCCGCCTTGACGAATTAACATAGGTTTTAAGAGCACCTGTTGGGACTGCTATTTTTTACCTTTCGTGATCTCAAGTGACCTCACAATTGACCCAAGGTGAAAAATTTGGTACGCATTCCTCATGCTTTGACGAAGCGTTTAAAACTGTATCTGTGTTTTTCTCATACGGTGTCTGGAAGCTGGAGATCCCCGGGGAAGTTCACTTCCCCCGGCCGGGCGCAGCTAATACTGCTCGCACAGAGAGCACTGGCCGAACAATCCTGGGACTTTTGACACGGCTCAGGAAGGAAACGGCTTGGACAATGCGCATCACTTGTCCTCAGCGCCTTCCTTGAACACTGGACACTCTTTGGACCCCGGTGGATGTTCCGCCCGGCAGACATACAGCGCCGCTCCGGCGGGCACCTGTCGCGCGTGTACGGCATGAGCCGGCTGGGCTCGCCGCTCTCCTCACGCCAGGAGCGCGCGCTCCGCGACCGGCTGCCGCGCGCCTGGGACTGGCGCGACGTCCGCGGCGTCAGCTACGTCTCCCCCATCAGGTGGGACAACGGCAATCCAGCGCAGAGCTTGGGTGGGTTCATGGAGACTTGTCATGGCTATGATGCTGTCTGTGACCGCACAGATAAGCTAGCCACCGTCATTGGCACGTCGCTGTGGATGGAAATAGGTACGAACATCTGTGTGGTGAGATTCATCGATGGCATCTTTTGTCCTATCGGTAAAGTTGTTGATGCTAAGCTTTACTCGAGGAACTTTTGCCGTGTGTCATCTGCCCTGGCAAGACTCTCCTCTTCCCCTGGTCTCGACAGGCCATGGCCGCTACTGATGGATCCCGTGCCCCCTTCCGCAGGAACCAGGGAACGTGCGGCTCGTGCTACGCGTTCGCCTCGATGGCGGCGCTGGAGTCACGCGTGCGCATCCTCACCAACAACACCATGCAGCCTGTGTTCTCACCGCAAGACATCGTCAGCTGCAGCCAGTACAGCCAGGGCTGCGCCGGCGGCTTCCCCTACCTGGTCGCCGGGAAGTACGGCATGGTCAGTGTCAAGCGAACATAGGACGTGGTCAGTAGGCGTGAGCTGGATATAGCGTGTGATCGGTGGGAGTAAACCAGACACAGGGGTTCATCAGCAGGTGTCTGACTGGAAGGAGGTCATGGTCAGTAGGTGAGACATGGTTGCTAGGTTACGCTCAACGTACGCCTTGAGATACATCCGATAGTCGCCGCTCTGAATGGTATGATGGCCAGCAGTGGACTGATCTGTGTGTTAAGGTCAGTTATTTCTGCTGGCCAGCAGTGGACTGGTCTGTGTGTTAAGGTCAGTTACTTCTGCTGGCCAGCAGTGGACTGATCTGTGTGTCAAGGTCAGTTCTCTCTGCTGGCCAGCAGTGGACTGATCTGTGTGGCATGGTCACTTCTCTCTGCTGGCCAGCAGTGGACCGATCTGTGTGGCATGGTCAGTGCTCTCTTCTCTAACCAGTGTTCCTGTGGTGAACTGTGACGTAGGCCGATCGCCGGCTCTGGCCACCTACCAATGGTAGAGAAGAGAGAGAGGAGAGGTCAGGTCAGAGGTCGCGGTGAGCCACCGGCCCGGCGGTCTCACGCCCTCTGCCTGTCTCCCTCTCCTGGCAGGACTACGGCGTCGTCAAGGAGTCGTGTAATCCGTACAAGGGCACAGACACCAACCAGTGCACCACCGACCCCAGCTGCCACCGCATCTTCACCTACGCCTTCCGCTACGTTGGCGGTGGGATGAGGACTGAGGAGAGGGTGGGGGGACGGGAAGGGCAATAGTTGGAAACACGCCCCGCCAGCTGGCTTTAAACTGAGCAGATTTACGTGAACATCAACAGAGACCTGGCAGACAACTTTTTTATTGGACATGATGGGATTGTGCCGTGATCTTACCATATCAGTTTATGGTCTATTAACGCAGACAGATTTAATAAAGACGAGGTTTTTTTGCATATCTAGTAACAATTCTGCATCACCGTGATTATGGTTTAGATAAGGCATCAAATTTGTCCGCGTGAATGCGTGTTATTTCGCATGCACGTCACTCAGCACGTAAACGACAATTTTCTGGCGAGAGTCTCGGTGGACTGACGGTAGCACGCTTTTCCGCAGAGGATTTGTCAGCGGCCGCAGGTGACCGAGGCTGATGCGCGATCTGGTGGAGTGTGGTAGACTGGCGATGACACCGATTCCGGCAGGGTTCTACGGTGCCTGCAGTGAGCTGGAGATGATGCGCACGCTGGTGGAGAAGGGTCCGCTTCCGGTGGGATTCGAGGTTTATCCAGACTTCAGGGACTACTCGGGCGGCATCTATCATCACGTCACCAGCACCAGGAAGTTCGGCTTCGATCCCCTCGAGGTGGATTACGCTATCGTCGTATTTCAATATTTTTTTTAGCACTCTCGTCGCTGGCTGATAATGACGCTGTTCAGTAGGAACTGTTTAAAGTTGGAGCAGAAAACTTATAAAAACTTTTGAGTTTAAAAGTTGGAGCAGGTAACATCGAAAGTTCCAAGGCATTTCTTTTGGCGCAACGTCGCTAGGCGTAAAACTCCATTGCCAGCTTGTGGGAGGGAGGGGAAGATTCTGCCTCAAAACCTTACCCAAGATGTGAAAATAACGCTGTTGGAAGCTGGAGATGTGTTAATGATTGACATTCGTGGCTTTTGGTGAAGGTAGGGCTGAGTCCAAACGCGATTCGTTTAACTGTTAAATCAGGTGTCCACGTGACAAAACTAACTTGTTCCATATGGTCCAGTGCGCCCTGCTGACCCGGCTGACCTCAACAGCTTACCAATCACAACGTCCTGCTCGTGGGATATGGGGAGGAGAACGGCAGGAAGTACTGGAGCGTCAAGAACTCCTGGGGAGACAACTGGGGCGAGGAGGGCTTCTTCAGGTATGCTCGGTTGGCTGGAAGCACATCCTAAGTTTCGCGAACGGCTGCCAGAAGCAATCTGTCTCAGCCCATTATGGATGTCAGTGGGACGTTTTGCCTTTGTCGCTCAGCAATATTTTGACAGGAAGGTTATTAAATCTCTTCGCTTCCCTAATTATGTTCCATGATGCAGCTTTTGAAACATTGTACGCAGTCTTCCCGAACCAGGCTGTGCCTCTCATTTTGTTTTCCCCTTTCTGTGTGTAAATGTCAAGTCATGATGATGGTGGCGACACCTCGCGGTGATCCGCCAACTGCCAGTGCTTTGACTATCCGCCGCTTCCGCAGGATCGAGCGCGGCACCGACATGTGTGGCTTCGAGAGCTTGGCCGTTGACATTGACGTGAGCCCCTACTGAACATATCAGTAGCACATACTGCTGCAAGTCATTCAATACTGATGACATCAGTATATCCTGATGGCGCCAGAGCACGGGTTGATGCTCTAGCCTAGATTGATGGCACGATCGACGATTGTCAACTGATTATCAACTCTTGCTCCTTATTGCCAATGACGTCACAGCAACTGAGTGACGTCATCGGTGTACTAGCGTCGGCGTCGTGGAGCGGAACGCTGAGGGCGCGCGTAGTCGTGCCAGGTCGACGACTGTTGCATGTCTCTCCCTTATTTAGTGTTTGTTTCGATGAAGTCTGCTTGCAAGCGAGACTGCAAAATATTTAATGCTATTTCCATGTTGGATCGCCTAACACTCATGCCCTATTTCTAAAGCCAAGGGTGCGGAGGATTCATGTATTGTATCTGACTATCTTTACATTGTAGTACTCGTGCGCTGCCGGCCTTGCTGCGGTGTGTTCCGGATGCGTGCACCCCTGCGAGGGCCGGTGATGCTGTGCCGGCGGACACGCTGCCAGCAGCCTGTGACCGGTCGCGGTCGGTAACCTGGGCTAGCCCAGACACACGTACACACACACACACACACACACACACACACACACACACACACACACACACACACACACACACACACACACACACACACACACACACACACACACACACACACACACACACACACACACACACACACACACACACACACACACACACACACACACACACACACACACACACACACACACACACACACACACACACACACACACACACACACACACACACACACACACACACACACACACACACACACACACACACACACACACACACACACACACACACACACACACACACACACACACACACACACACACACACACACACACACACACACACACACACACACACACACACACACACACACACACACACACACACACACACACACACACACACACACACACACACACACACACACACACACACACACACACACACACACACACACACACACACACACACACACACACACACACACACACACACACACACACACACACACACACACACCACAATACCATGTAATGGACGACTTCAGCCATTCGTTGATGCTGAGGGCTTTCTTCGGACACGAAGAGCTTCTTTTTGGTAGGCTATCAGCGTGTCGTTTGCGTGTCAATGTTGCTTTCTGGATCTGGGTCAAGTCCTGCCTTGGCGCTCCGTCTCTTAAATGCATAACAAGTCGTCTAGAGAGACGCAGTTATGATACCAATGTAGTTTATCCCACGACACCCGTAATCTTTGCAGAGACAGGGTGGCTAAATGTACCACATTGACACACTTCCAGTGGTAAATTGGGATGTCACGCCATTTTTCATGTGAGTGTGAGTGAGTTTCAAGTTTGTCAAGCTTTTTTCCTGTTTTTTTTTTGTACTGGACGAGTTGAAGGTGGTCCGTCGAGTTGGTTGCCTCAAATGATTTACGAATGTTGTGTTCGCCGCGTTTCGTAAACCGATGAGATGTGACCTAGCTAATACAGTTGTATCATCTTCCCGACTTTGTTGGGGCTTTGGTTTGTGTAAGAGATTACGTTTCTTGCTTTAGCTAGTTCACGATTTTAAGATCATTTTCAGGTAAATAAGGAATGAAATAATATCGTAATTTATGCTGATCTACTGAAGTGTGGCCGGTGGACTCAAGTCCCTATAACAACTGGCTTTGCGGCAGGGCTATAACAAAGTATCCATAAGTTGTTCATAGCATTAGCGAGGAACATTATTCCCATAGATAAGACAGTAGTATTAGCCTTATTCCTCGGATAAAAACCAGGAGAATGGAGATATAGTTGGGTTATAGCATAGTTGGAAACCCAACTATATCTCCATTCTCCTGGTTTTTCTCCGAGGAATAAGGATGATACTATTGTCTTATCTATACAAAATGTTCATTTTATATTTCGGATTGTTAACAACACACGGATCTCGGACGTCAATTTCAATCAGTAACTGTAGTAATAATATAACATAAGTCACATATCGCAAACACGTAGTTAATGGTTAAGGATAATAGTTTGTGATAGGAAATGTGTGGCGTGGCTTCCCGATAGCCTAAAAATGTGACTAAATGTGGCAAATTTATAGTCATGGTGCTCCGGCGACATGACGGCCCTGCACTGGCCCTGCTGGCAGCATGCAGGGCAACATGTGCATTATACGCCGTTCTTCAGTCCTGCTGAGCATTTGTGTGCGAGTACCCACCATGACACTCTCCTCATGCTTATGTTATCATGTTGCCTTAATTGTGTGCTAAAGCAGCCAACAAACAAACGAAACCTATAATTTTAGTTCTTGCACCCACGTTATACTGAACTTTGTCATGGAAGGTGCGTAAAGGTAAGTTTGTCGCGCAAGCAAACGCGATTTGAGTTGATCTGAGCCCGTTCACACATTGCAGCTTGACATATCATAGACCTGGTTTCAGTCATGCCAGTCTGACAGCTCACAGAGGATCTGATATAAGCCTTGCTCGGGTGAGGGTCAAACTGATCCCCCGAAAAGCTTTTTCACAAAAGTTCCTGAACAACGCGGCCTAGCCGTGCCCAATTTTGCATAGCTATGAAACATCGCTAATGACAATGCTAATGGCGGACCGTTTGGTCTAAAAAGTCTAGGTATTACTTGCAAGGTTGCTGACCTGCGGTAGGTCAAAGTTAGGGCAACGGACTCAGCGAGGTCAATTTCTAAGGAATCTTTCAATCCCATGCAACAACGGAGTCCTAGGAGAAGCCATACACCTCTGAGATACTTCCTTAGGCAACACAACAATTGAATAAACATATTTTATTGACTTAGGGTCAGGCGTGAAGGTCAGACCGAGGTAAAAACCAACCCGTTTTATTACGCTAAGGCTTGCTTCATGAGGTAGTTATTGGTGCTGATTTCGAATTTACTGACGGCAAGAACCACATTATACATCTTTCATGGACTTCTTAAGGGTTTTAATAGGTCACTGACCTAAAATAACCTAGGTCAACACTTTGTTTTCAGGAGAACACTGCCTGACGTTATCACTGTCGCTCATCCAAATGCAAAACTCATAGTGGTCCTGTATGATCTTGGTTACCATGACCTTCGAAAGGTCAAAGAGGTCACTGACCTTAAATGAACATGTGACCCTTTGGATAGGACATATATCTAGGCTCTGGGGGCATTTTGGAGGCCAACCCAGAGTTTGACCTTGTTTAACCTCATTTGACCCGAACATGACCTAGAAACCCCAAAATTGGACCTAATGTGGACTTCAATTGGGCGTAAGTGAGTTCACGTACCGGCCAAGACTTCCTGTGAATTGTGTGTCTCCAGCTTTCTTAGTCCTTGAGGTCTAAGGGGGTTAAACTGACCCCGATTTGAGGCATTTGGGGCAGCCGATGTCGGCGGAGAATGTGAGGTGTGGCCGGCAGTTGAGTACAGATCTCGTTAGGGTTGCGTGTGTTGTCTGGGTGAATGTGGACTTGGTGACCCGTCGGCCGGGCCGTGCCGTGACATGTTGGCAACGGTATCGGGGAAGTGGTTCTGTGCTATGTATGGCGAGCTATTCAGCCATGCGTCTGCATTGGCCATGGTTCGTGTCGCGTTGGCTGACTTCCCGGTCTACGATGGGTCAGTGTCACCAGACGGGTTCATTCGCCATTGCCAACGTCTGACGGCACTGGCTGACATGCATCTCTGCCGAACAGCTCTCCAGATTCATGACGGTGAGGTGACGCGGACTTGCTCTGCAGGTCGTGAAGGACAGTACCGACCAAACGGACGTGCCCTCCTTACTGACGAACATGTTCGATGCCAAACGACCGGAGGTGGCAGCTACTCAGCTAAGTACTGCTCAGCAAGGCGCAATGCCTATTTTGGAGTACTCTTTTCCTACCAAGTGGCTTGTCCAGGATGCTTCCTGAGAGTTTTTTGACCACGCTGATGCGTGAAAAAGATCTGCGCTCCAGTCTGCCAAGCTACAATGTATCATCCTTTTTCGTGGGATTATCGGCTAAAGAGAAGATGCTACTGTCGCGCCAGGGCGTGGCGTCGTTCGACGCGGCTGTCGGCGAGCAAAAGCGAGAAGGGCGCGTCTCCCGCCCGTTGAGAAGCGAGCGACGCTGTTCGCACGTGCACTGGTCGGAGAGTGGAGCAGTGCATGTGGAGGGCAGTGTATGTCCCATGTCACTGCCAGCTTGTCTCGACGCGGCCACGACCTCGCCACACCGAGGGACTACTGGCGCCTCGAGCGTTATGGTGTCAGATCGCCTGAGCGCGCGGTGGGCGGTGCTGGCCGCGGCTCTGAGCGGTCACCGCAGCAGTCGGCTACCACCTGGCAGAAGTGCCGCCAGCCACCGTCTTCGATTCGCTCACCAGATGGCGGTGCGCGCCGTACAGATTTGCCAGGCGGGCGGCGGCGCGCGACATGCATCCTGCATCCTTGCGGCGCCCCGCTTGTCCGGGGCAGGCTGCACGCGCCAGCCACGAGTGGGCCGAGAGCCTCTTGGGAGGGGGACCCCGACCGGATACCCAGTGCGCAAGCGCGTGCTAAAGCTCGGCGGTTGGCCCCCAGGCGCATGCAAGTCTACCCCACCGTTAACTATTGTTTTTCATCTCAGACCCCTGAAATGATCAGTTCCGGTCGAAAGGGCTCTAATCGAAACATTCGAACCAAACCAAGCATGTCGACATTACCGGCGTTTCGGTAAGCGATGCGCTCTTGCACACTAACAGGCGAGTCAGCCTTCTTGACAGCCTCTTACGTTCAGTTCAAGGCACTGCCCGACTGATGTCAGCGTCAGGTCGTCACTCAAACGCGTAAGGTATCTATTCCCTCAACAAAGAGGTCGCAGGGTGAAAGGAGAAACAACTGTAGCCGAGCTCATTGTGGTATATAACCTTTCGCACGATTTAGTTTTCGGATGGGATTTCGCTTCCAATGTTGTGTTAATTTGTTCTGTGAGCACTTTGGTTTAGTTAAAATTGCGACTCAAAAAGACTGCGTTTGTCCCTTCACAATCAGCTGTGTTTGTCGGTCAAGGCTGACCAGCATTGGTCGTGTGAGAGCGCTCGTGGGAAAACGCTCAAGTAACGTTGAAATATGTTTTTAACTGACAACACCGTTTACGTCGACAGAGATCCCAATGTACATTCGCAACGATCTAGTCGCCGGATCACCATGGATAAGCGGAGCGTCATTGGCAATGCAGAGCGGATTGACCTTGTCGAGACGCGTCAGCCCGGGCCTGCTGGGGAATCGCCGGTGACGTCACAGCCAGAGTGAACACGATGTCAGTTGTTCAGTGCATTAGCGGGCAGCATTCTTCACATAGATCAGGCAGTAGTAATGGCCTTATTCCTCCGAGAAAAAACGGGAGAATATATCTGTACATGGGTTGATATTTCGGCAGCATGCCTTTATCGAAACAATAGCAGGAGGGCATTCAAAAGAAATGATACATCGATGATTATGCCGGGGCATGGACGCATGGACAGCGTTCCCATGAGGGGTTTTTAGAGTGCATGAACATCCAGCATCCAAATCTAGCTTTTACGGTGAAGCATACGTGGAACGAAAAGGG